GAGGAAAAAAGTGATTATGATTTAGATGAACAAGAACAAGCTGAACTGGATTTTGAATTAAGTGACAGTGAAGAAAGCGAATTCGAAGAGAATGACGTTTGCATTAGAGATAAAAAAAGGAGTAAATGCCTATTTGCAGATGATGAAGCTGAAGTTACAGACAATGAAGATTCAAGTATAGAAGAGACATGTGATAAAAATGAGGATCATATAAAATATGGTAAACAATCTACAAATTTCAAATATAGAAAAGAATACATGGACGACGATGTAAGTGAAATAGAAACCGATGATGATAATGAAGAAGATGATGATGATAATGATGATGATGATAATGAAGATAAATATGAAGGAAAAGAAAATGAAGAAAGTTTAGAATATGAAGAAAGTTTTGCAAATATGAAGAATGGAAATGAATCTGATTTGAAAGATGTTGACAATGTTAATGCTTGTGAAAGCTTTAACATTACTAAAAATGATAGAAAAACAAAGTTAATAGAACAGTTCCAAAACGATTCAAACGTTACAAATCCGAGCTATTTACAAAATCATAGCAGTCAATTAAATATGCCGACAGACATAAATGCATCTAAAACACATTGCGATGATATTGATTGGATAAGTGAAAATGAAAGCAATATGCCCGCTTGTCAACAAGAAGTTACTACAAGAAGCCAGATATGCAAGACACCTTTGACGAAAACAAGTATGCTCGATTTGGTTTCTCCTATAACGCAACTAAGCGTATTGAATACTACCTTAGAAAATGAAAAAGATTCACAAAAAAGAGAATATTTAGTTGATAAATACGAGTTCCTTTCTATGAAAAATACACAGAATGATGAGCTTTCTGTATGTAAAAATAAATCTATTTTTAAAAAAAAACTGTTTGATGATATTGGAGAAACTGTTGATGACGAATATCTTATGCGATTGTGTTCTGGTAAATTTGAATCTCCGCAAAGAACTGATATAGATTTATTTTCACAATCTAGTACTACTGAATTGCAGTTACATTCAAATGATTCTGAATGTAGAAATTCTAACGCAAAACTAGTTGCTGTTAAATCAAAAAATTCAAAAGACAAAATGCTTCAAAATATAAAATTAACATTAGATGAAGATTCTAATAATTCTGTAAATCATGTAGATAAAATAAATAAAGTTAGCGCAATGGATTCGGAACTAAAATTAAGAGTTATGTCCTCAGACGACGAAGATGAAGATACATTTCTAAAACCTAAAAAACGTTTTGCCAAAGTATTGAATTTGTCTGACTCGGAAGAGGGGAATTCTCAATTCTTTAATAAAGATGATATAAATAGTGAAGAGAAACAATATGTTGATTACGATTCCGAAGAAAATGAAATTATAATTGTGCCAGAAAAGGATATAAAAAAAGTTGCAGCTAGTTTTGTGGAAGAAGAAGCAGAGTTAAGTGAAAGCGATTGGGATTCTGCCGATGAAGACGAGAAGAATTTGGATAACTTAGAATTTGAAGAAGCTGATGATGAACATATAGATGAACACGAAGTGAAAGATCAACTGGAAAAGATCCATATAAAACAACTATTAGATGAAGATAAAAGAGACGTGAGATTGCTGAAAGAGTTATTATTTGAGGACGGCGATTTACATAGTGATGGAATGGGACGTGAGCGTAAATTCAAATGGAAAAATATAGGTACAATATATACATATATTTTTTAACATTTATGATGTGTAATTATGATAATTTTTTTAATGACGGACGATTATCATAATATACTTTTTCTTTTTTCAAATATTTTTTATAAGATTCAAATTTCCAAAATGTTAATACTTGATATTCTCCAATATGTGCATAACCTTATGATTTTGTTTAGATAAGTTAGGAAATAATATTGAGATGTCACAAATATCCGATGAGAACGAAGGCTGGGTAGATGTGGAAGACGATGAGGAAGAAGCAAAGTGGAGTAAACTTAAAAATGAAAGAGACAGATTTCTTGAGGAAAGAATGGTACTAAATTATTGTATAATAACGATCACATTTAAAGAATATAGATAGAATATTTCTATAGATATATCATATCTTTACAGAAGTGCTCAAATAATGAAATTGAAGATGAATTATGTCATAGTAAAATCTTTAAACTCGGACTGGAAGCTGTTAAGAAGATCAAAGGTAATGAGTCACAAAAACGAGATACTTCTCTCGACAAAGTAAATTCTTCTGAGAATATAGAACCAATTATGCCACGAAATATAACAGATCTCTTGAATGGACCAAGTATTGGAAAGAAATGTCAGATATATGTAAGATTATTAATTTATCAATATTAATGAAAATATAGCGTATATTGTCTCATAAGCAAATGAATAAGTAATAGCTTGTATAAACAGGATATCTGATAGTTAACAATTAAATTTTCGCATAAAAGCCGAATGGACTAAGTAGAAAAGTCTTTTATTTTACAATTTTTACAATAGTTAATGAGTTATTGGGTGTGTTCAGCCGAACGCAATCGTTGCACGACGGTTTGCTGACGAGTTGCAACACGCCGAGTGTTTTACTAAACGCTCTTCTGGCATAGTTGATATATGCATCGGAAAATGCAATCCTTGCGCAAGGAAAGATTCAGTACAACTTCACGGCGCGAAACATCTCTATTCAGAGTCGATTCTTACATTTAAGACTGTCTTAAGTACAATCTTAAGATATCGTAAATCAATGTGAGGACTGTATTAGCACCTTAAGACATTATATTTAGACAGTTTTAAAATAAAAATGGACTATGAATACCGTCCCATGTTTAGCGTTTCACAGTTTCTTATGAACAATCCTAGACAGAGAGGACAGAGATTTCGAGAGACACACTGTCCAATTGCACACCATGTTATCCCTTCCATTATGGGGAATAATAATCATAATCATAACTCAAAAAAACGGAAATCCAACGCTAATCGGGTATACGCGACTCGTGCGTAGCCCGTATTGCCGCTAATAAACAACTTCCCATGTGCTTAACGGCGAACGCGCTTTCTGTCTCGCCCGCGCTTGCATTTGGCATTTAGGCTGGGCGATTTTAACTATTTTCACAAATGAATATTAAACTCGTTAATTATTGCAAAAATTACAAAATGATTACAGGGCTTTTCTATTCAATTTAGTCCATTCTGCCTCTGTATGAGTTTAAGCATTTTTCAGATACCCTGTACATACCTATATATATGTATATACACACGCACGCACGCACACATACAAAATACTTATTATTAGATTGCGAATATTTATGCAAAATACTTAACTGAATATTAACCATCGGACAGTTTTAATCGATCGTTATTCGTTAAAAAATTATTAAAAAGTAAAATAGAAAGGTCGAGATTGCCATCTGCCTAAATATGCAATTTATGCAAAATATTCAGTTAAGTATTTTGCATAAATATTCGTAGTCTACTTATTATATATAATTTACAGAATGTTATAAAAAAACGTTCACTCTTAACTCGAGGAGAAGAATCGTTAGCGAGGATAGCATCATTGGCAAAACAAGGTGACTCTGTCTCTCATGCGGTAAATATAAGAAGAAATTTTATCTTTCCGCATATTGATCAAGACACAAATAATACACTTAAAAAGGAAACAGAAACAATAGCAGATTTGGATTTACAAATTAAGGTATATAATTTAATTATATAATGTTATATTATAAAATGCATTACTATTGTACATTGCTCATTTGCTACAATGATATAGCTATACATTTCAAAATGAAAATTACAAAATTTTAATGATTCAAAACATTTAAACTTATTTTTTGGAAAACTTTATTTCTTGATTTGTATGTAGTAAATAAGCGACATATTTTTCATTTATCTAATTTTTATATGCTACTATTGAAAAAAATTGTATATTTTTTTATGACTTTGCAGACTGGAAAGAGAAAGATGAATTCAAATACATCTTTGACATTGAAAAAAAGGCGAAAATAAAGCTATTCTTCAAAAAAAAAACAATTATTTTATTTATATAATATGTGAACTTTTTTTATAAGTAATATTTAATATAAATTTTATATGTATAGATGAAATGATAATTAATGTTTTTGTTGAGCTACTAAAACTTGTTAGATGTACAAAAATGTTAACAATACTTGACTATTTTATATAAAAATTGCTTCTTTTTGTGACGAGAAAGCAATGAAATGTAAATGATTAAACGATTTTGAATAGTCAATTCAGATAATTTGTGGAACTCATTACCTTCTTTTTGAATCCTTCCTATTAGTAAATGATCAGAAACAATTGATTTACCAACATTTAATGCTTCAGCTAATTCTTCAAGCGTTTGAGTTGAGTTTTCATTCAAAAATTTTGGCCTGAACGTTCTTTGTCTTTCAAATTAAAATCACCATTTTTAAATCGTCAATACCAGTACTCACGTTTTAATAACTGATGAAGCAGATTCAGAATAAATTTCTAAAATGAATCGGTGAGTTTCGACAACCGTTTTCTTCGAATCAAAGCAGTAAAATAGCCGAAAATATTTTTTATCACGTCCCGTTTTCAATCGCACTAAAAAGTATGGTTACGTTTACGAATGCATAGAACTGTGTCAAATTATTTGTAGAAATATGCAAGCTTTGAAATGACATATTCAATTTCAAAATATTTTTAGCAGATCTATATCATTTGTGAGCTCTCAAAACTAACCAGAACACCTAATAGTTAAAAACATAAGATTTCATAAGTATGTGTACAAGAATTTTCAGATTTTTATACAATTCAAAATAGTTAAAAAAATCTGTTATTGACCTCAAAACTCTAATTTACGGGCGAAAAGTGAAAATTTCACATTGCCGGCGAAGGATTAAATTCGTAATCGTAATTATTATACGATTAGTTTTGTAAAACAGATGGAATATAAAGTATTTATATCAAAAGTATAGAAATTAAAATCAAGAAAGGAAAAAATAAATGTTTTTTTTTTTTTTTTCAAATCTTATTTCTTTTTTTAAAGATTGTTCTATTATTAGCTTTATCTGTAAGAAACATAACATTTGACGATGTTTAAAATACAACGGACGTATAACAGTAATTGTTTTTCTAATGTTGAAAAACATTTCATTCGCACATCGTGCGAAATATTTTACAATTTTTCGATTTTACACGTTCGATATTACGAACTTGTGACTTTTTTTCGACACACCATTTCAGTATCGGAAATTTGGGTTATCCGTTTGCCATCCTTTCGCATTTGGTCCAAATTGATATACCAGTCTGCGACCAAGTACTGGCAGAAATATTTTGCTCTTGTAATAGTACCTAAAAAGCATCATTTTGCAAAATAAAAAAAACTAATATAGCAATATCTAAATATATTTAAATTATTTCACAAGATATAAAAAAATTTTATTATTTATTATTACCTCATAGCTCGACTAAGTTTTTCATAAGTCATTTTTGTATTTCCTTTCCGCGAACCCCATCGTTTTGCCACTTCGTCGCTTTTTACGAAGCGAAATTTGGCTTGTGAATAGTCTTCCCAGCAGATTAAACTTGGACACGTTTCTCTATTACGTAGTAAATCTCTAATAAATTCCCATAATTTTCCTTGACTCGCGGCTACAAAAATGCAATTAAATCGTATAATTCAGTAAATACATTTAATATTACATGTATTAAACCTTTCATCATTCTAATTTATAATTTATAAAACGAAATTAGCATATTTAAAATATGTGAAAGACAAAGAGCTAATGTGATAGAGGGAAAAAGTAAGAAGGAACGTGTTTTTATAAACGTGTAAATGCATCCAATCAATGTGCGTCCCATGCGTAAAGCGTTCGCATCTAACGTAATACACTAACTATTTCTTCTTGTAATTTGAAAATTAAGCTTCGGGCAAAATTTTTGTAAAGGAAAAATCGTCTTAGAATTCGATCAGGAATACGTCTCTTCAGGGACACCTGGGTTGTTCTGAATCACCATGTATGTAATATATTGTGTATCGAGAAATATATTTCGCAAAAATTTATTGCTGAACATTCTGATATTCTAATTACTCGTGCAAATAAGGGTAATTCGACAACATTAACTGAATATAATGGAAAATGCATGAAATTTTAACAGATAATAACACACACTTTGACCATTAATAAAGATCTCCCGAATAAAATAATTATTGAAATACGCGCATTTTTAATTAGGTCGAACAATAGGAAATACATTGAGATAAATTTACTTATAAGAAATTACATGTTTCCGATGGAACACTATCGAGATTTTATGGGCTTTCGAAGACACACAAAGAACGTAATCCGTTGAGAATGATAGCTGCATTAATAGTCCCCATTATCCTCTTGTTACATATTTGAAAGAAGTTTAAAAAAAGAAATTTGTGATATCAAAAAGCTATAAAATAGTATTGAAATTAATTGGAATGCCATTAGATCAGAACTATAAACTTGTTTCTTTTGACATAGTGTCTATGTATAGTCAGGGCCTAAAAAGTTGTAACATTTTTTTTAAATGGGTTTTGGAATGCAACCTACTTATCGTGCAATTGGTTCTTATTGTAGATCCATGAATAAGAACCAATCGTTCGGTGAGCAAACTGCATTCCGAAACCCATCGGAAAAAAAGTGTTGTAACCTTTTAGGCATTGATTATACACTAATATTCCCACAGATTTAATTCTAAGAAGTATCAAAGCAAGATGGAATTCTATATCAAAACATACATTGATTCCGAAACAAGAATTCTTAACGGCTATACATATATCTTATTCTCAATTCTACTTTCTTTAAATCTGATAAAAAATACTTCAAACAGATATTTGATATGCCCGTGGCATCTCCGATCTTAGCAAATTTAGTGATTCAAAATTTGAAGAAATATTTTCCAGCATTAATATTCCTATTTATTATCGTTACATTGATGACATTTTGCTTGCGACTCCAAATGATCAAATCGATTTAGTTCTTAAGACGTTTAATTCTTATCATTAGAGATTTACTGTGGAACATAAGAACAATGGCGATATTAACTTTCTTGACGTTAATTTAAAGATGGAGGATGGTTGTATTAAATTTGACATTTATAAAAAAGCGATTAATTCGAGCCAATATTTGAGTTACAAATCGAACACAAAAGAATAATAATTGGACAATTTGATAGAATTTTATTTTTTTCTTTCATCCAGATTAAAAATGTCAATTTCATGATTAATGTTTTAATTAATGGTTTTAAATAACGGTTATCTTCTAAATATAATATTTTCCACTATAAACCAGAAAATAAAAACATTATCTAGAAGAAATAATTTATATGAAAACAAAAGGAAATTAATAATAATAATTCTAGTTCTACTAATATAAAAAAATTCTTTACAATTCCATATGTAAATAAAATATCAGAAAACTTTAAAATAATTGGAAAAAAATGATTTTAATATATCTTATAAACTAATGAATTGTTTAAATTAATTTATAAAAATAGGAAAAGATAGAACGGATAAAATCAACCAATTTGATGTGGTATATAAAATAAATTGTCTGAATTGTGATTTCTCTTATATAAGACAAATAAAAAGGAAACTTAAAACGAGGATTAAAGAACATAGAGTGAACCAAAAAATAATCTCTTTCTGTAGTTTCACATCAATTAAATTATGAACATGAATTATAGATTGAAATAACATCTGTGTTTTAAAAAGAAGAACTATCCTATAAAAAAAATGATTTCCGAAATGATACTTATAAAAAGACTAATTGGTGATATTAATAAGCAAAGCGATACAGAAAAATTGTTGAGTAATTATTTACCTATACTAAATATATTTCTGCTTCACATAACATCAGTATGACCCCTTCCTAAGTATCTTTGTCTTGTTTTATATGTAAGTTCGATAACTCATATGAGAATTAGCAGAGAATTAAAAATTGTAGCAGTAAAAATAGCTTGTCATCAATCCATTACTTTAGTTATAATATCGAAGTTTGCTTTGACACAGTTTGTTTAACTAAAACTAATAATTGAATAACTAAATTTCATATATTAATTACGTGGTTTGATCATATTAGAGTCTGGAAATTTTGTGCCAAACATGTTTTACTTTAACTTCAAATGCAACGAAGAATCATATTAGACAAATTTGAAAAAAGATTTTAATAAGAATAAATTCTCCAAGTTCTCTAAACAATTTTAATTATTAACAAGCGTTTTACGTACACTAACCTTCAAGAAATGATTTATATTTGGACATTTGAATTGACTTGTAAATCTCAATTTTTTGCGTTTTACCGTTAAATAATATTTATTTCAATTGTATAGAAAATTATAGACATACTGAAGATGGTCTAATCGAGACCGAAACGTTTATAATTGTTCTGACTAATTTGTTCAATTATATCAGAATAAAATCAATAAAATTGAATTTATAGAAATTTTTCGCTACTAATATCTTGTATTATGGTACATGCATTTTTTAATTATTATATATTTCGCAGTTATACTTACTATTTTTCTTAGTCTTTAATACTCTTGGTCTACCTGGCAGCCTCTTGGTTGCAATTTCGATACTATTATCTGATTCCGCATCTGGAAAAAGCAAGAAAATGATTTAAAATATTTGTGATCTCAGATAGGACAGAGAGTCCTATCTGGGAGAAAGAATTCTTTTTTGATTCGTGATTTGACGAAATGAATTCCTTTTCTATTTCATTTCTGTTCTAAAAGTATTCCTAAGACTCTCAAAAGAATTTACTTTTGTATCAATTGCGATCTTTTTTTCATATTCAAAAAGTAATATTTTTCTAGTCTATATAAGAATTCGCAATAAAATCAAAATAACTTTTAAGTAATATTTTAATAGAGCTCTATAATTTCATTTTTTGTTCTCTTTGAACCTCTTTCTTGAGTTCATTACGAACAAATTATGCTAATTCATAAAAAACAAGAAGATGCATTTTTTCGAGTTTAAATAGATCAGTTGTGCTGTCTAAGATGTGTTTAAGTGTTCATGTGTTCATTTATATGTGTGTTTATACGTGTGTTCATTTATATGTGTGTATTATGTAATTTTATTGATTTTATATAAGTAAAAGATAATAATTCAGTTGAAGTATTTTTTAAAATGATTTACCGGATATGTTGCTAGAATTGACTCGCGTATACTCATCCTCCGATTGTGCCTGAATGGTATCAAATGGTGGTACTATATCAAAAATTAATAAATTGTATTAGATTTGCAGCACACTCAATAATCATTTTGCATTTGCATCATTTATTTAACAAAGGAAGATTCCCAACTCGAAAATTCAAAAGTTTATAGTTTCTAATGACAGTTAATACATCGCGAATTATAATTTATATATATATATATTGTAAAATTAGAGAAGGAAATCCCGATGGAGAAAGAAATAGCGAAACGAAACAATAACGGAAAGAAAAAAAATGGTGGAGTGCTAAACAATTGTGAGAAGCCTGGATACGAAAAGCGAAACAGAATCTTCAGTCTGATTATTTAGCCTCCGTGTTTTTTTTCCATGTTCTGCTTTTTCCTTTTCTATGAGGATGCATAGGATAAAGTTTATCATACCATGAAAAAAATTTTCTAAGAACTTTTCATGTTTTTCAGAATTTTTTGTATTATATAAAGCCCGTAGCCGAATAAGGGAGAGGTCGAAGTGCCCCAGATTCCAAAAAATTTGAAACTTTACTTACGTGTACATTAAAAATTAATACTACACCTAAATTAGTTTCTTGAAATGTCTCTCTAATTTAAAAAAATTTCAAATTTTTTGAAGGCATTTTTGCCCTCTTATTCGGCTAAAACTTTTAATTTTTTAGAAAATTTCTCACATTTTCTTATAAATTAGAACATTTTTCAGAAATGCTACGACAATCTATATTTTTTCTGTAGAACTTTTTATGTATTAATTCTAGAATATTTTAAGATTTCTCATTTTATAATTTCCAAAGAAAACTTACAAAACCTAAATAAGTTTAAGGGATATTCTTTTTCAGAAATCTTCATAAATTAGGAAAATGAAAAATCTGAATTTATCGTTATATTGAATTCGAAGTTTTTGGCCATTTTTTATATCTATAAATATATTATATTTATAAATGTAGCAACGTGTATACATACAAAGGTTTGATATACGTTGCGAATGGAGAAGATTGTACAATCGGTCTCCGTACACAGGATCGTGATTAATAAAATCTTCTCGCGTAAAAGTAACAATTTCTTTCCCGGATACGGCGAGACTGTGCTGAATGGAACTGTAAGGTTGACCGATATATGACGCGGCTGACATAAGCCAATTTATTGTTTCCTCTTGACACCAGGTTCTGATAGGTTTATCGGACCATCCAGTGCCGTCGATCTCCTCGCTTTCGTCACCTATCAAAACGAATTTAGAATCAGATCTACAGGCAATATCTGTCAATCCATGCTGTTTATACATTAAAACTGTATAATAATCGAATGCAAAATGTTTCAGATTGATCGAACGAATAATCATGCTGAAGTCAGTATATGATTGGTTTCTCATAAATCGTTGTAACACATTAATGTTCAAAAATCCTACCAGTGAGTAGGTTGGTAATCGCAGATAGTAAGAAAGTAGTAGTTTAAACTTTAATTCACTACAAATAAATAAGAAAATTGGAAAGATAACAAATTAATTATCTCTTGAAGTTATTTTTTTCTTAATAATTTATTATTAGATTCGTTGTTCAAGTTGACAATAAAAACGCGAGAACGCGTTAGAAGTACTTCGTTGTGATGACAAATATAAATATTAGTATTATTATTGATATTAATAGTAGGATAGCCATAGAGATTCTAACTCACTGTGTTAGTGTGTATATATATGTATATTAGAACGATACAGAGCGGCCACCTGACATATCTTCCTATACTAGATAAATGTCCCTCTCCTAGTACAAAAGTTACTCTCTCTTTAATATTTTTCTCTTTCCTTTTCAATCATATAAATAGGTAGCTCGGAAAGATATCTACAGAAAATTATACACTCTTGTTAAAATAAAGTTTCCACCTTCTATTTGCAGTCTTGATTTTCTGCATACGGAATGATTTTCTAATAATCGTTGGTCATAACACAGTATGTTAAATATACTAGATTTCATTTTCAATAACTAATTTAACAAACTAAAGTTATATTAATTTTAATTAGAATTTGGAAATTTGAAATGATGTTTATATAATGATCAATAATATAATACCGATAAAGAATCTCTGAATAACTAATTAAGCGAAGTAATCGACAAGAATTTCTACAGATTGAAAATATACCATCGACAAACTAAATTGATTAACAAGTTGAAATTTACCTTTGTAACTATTGTAGTTGATTTGACATTCGTGAAATTTATTGTGTTTCAATTATCTGATTCTTATGTAATTTATTTAAATTATTTTATTGCATTTTATATATCTGAGACTTATCGTTAAATAATTTATTTATATCATTTTCTCGTTTTACTTGATATACTACAGGTGGCCAATTTAAAACGTCTATAATTTTTATATATTTAACAATAAATTTGTAACTTTGCGCTACGATCAAATATCTAGTGTGTGACGTATACTCTTTTTATTTACTGTGTAAAAAATAGTGTCACTCTTGGGTTTACTTATTAATTTGGTACAGCTATAGATAAAGATAGTATCATTTAGATTTTATAATTTATAACTTTATAACTTATAATTTTATAATTCATAATTAGTACAATAATTATTTTTTCGAGGTGGAGTACTCTTAGCGCTTTTTTTTACCTTTTTTAAAAAGGTAAGTTAGTCGGGTTAATCCTAATATCACGTTTTTTTTTTCTGTATATATGTACGTATCTCAACGGGTTCCATTTTCTGAAAAATAATTTTTTTAAAGTTTATGTAAAATATCGCCTTAATCTGGATTATGTGATTTTCAATATAATTGTTATAATTATTTTACATATAAAATTAAGTTAATGGTATTTAAAAAATGTACCAATCGATGCATCTTTTAATAAAATGAACAAATCTGCCAGAAAAAGTTGCTCTGCTTTTGAAAACGAGATATCCTTAAAGTTAATGTCTATTTAAGTTAGAAAATCTAATATATTGTGGAGTATAGCCCCTCCCTCGCCTATTGTATTAATGATTTCGAATTAAAAAAATATTGCTTTCCATCAATATATATATATATATATATATAAGGTGCTTCCGATAATTTAAGTTTGAGTTAATTCCATTAGGAGCCAAAAATATGATAGACATAACTAGTACCTTTATAATTCATGACAACTCAATGTATGCCATAGTTGAGTCTGTTAACAAGTAGCAATAAAATCAAAGAAGCAATAAAAATTTCGCAAAATTTTACGAATGATGAGATAAAATATGCTTTTATTAATTTAATAATTAAGATTAAATTTATTTAAAGCAACAATCATGTAAAATTATCGACAGATAATTTATAATGCATTATGTATAAATTTAAGAAATTTACTTTTAACTTCTCGATAAAAAATTTTTCATACATGAATATATATAAACATGTATAAACATACATATGCATGTATAAATATTCATAAATATATCTATATAATTATATATGAAATATGTCCATGTTCATAATACATCCTTCTTTTTTTTTGAAAGTTAAAAAAATTAGTCGAAATTGATTTTTTTTTCTACTCTTATTACATTACCGAGCGAGCATTTCTTCTTGATTGGTTCACAACCACGGTTTGCTAGGAAATTGCTTCGTCTGGGAACTAAAGAATCCATGTCCAAGAGTAAATGATCATTTTCATCTTCGTGTAAATTAATAAACGATGGATATATCTACAATCACAGAATTTAAAATTTAAAATTGATTTAAAATAGTAGGATTAAAATTTAAAATCAGCTTAAAACAGAATTAAAATTAAAAATTTAATTTTAATTAATAAGCAACAATAGCATGCTATATTTATCAATTAAAATTAAAACTTTAAAATGTAAATTAAAAGTTATTTAAACGTAAATAATTAACAGAAGAGCTAAGAGCCAAATTTTTCGTATATTAAAATTTTTAAAAACACCTTTCGACCTATTTGTCAGGTCATCCTCAGTGTATACATGTCGATAAATTAACGCAAATTTAATAAAAATCATAAAACGGTTAAATATAATTTTTGCAAATTATAGTTATATACGCAAAGTGGTGGACTTATCTCTTCATATCTATTTTCAGTCGCAACAATGCAATGCTTTCAGTCTTGTCATCTTCGTAGTTGCATCCTTCTATTACATCGATCGCAATTTGTCCGTAATGATAATAAAATTAATTGAACATGTAAGTCATTCCGTAAAATTGTGCAAGCACACATTCTATTATCACAAATTAATACAATAGATTGTAAAAATTAAACTGACAATGAATAAATAATCGTTATATTCAGAATTCTTAGTATAATTTTTATTTAATTGACAACTATATTAAAGAATGTGTGATAAATAAAATTATTGTATATATACCTGAATGTGTGAAGGTTTAGGATAATCCAGTGATTGAAACAATACATCAAATTAATTTAACAAAGGTAAATGCGATTAGAGTTAAGAAAATTGAAAACAGTTAGAAATTTCTAATGTTATATTGTAGTGTGTGAGCGACATTCTGATATTTTATAATATTTTGTTGAGAAACGGGATAAAAGTGGAAGGGGAATAGAGATAGAAAAGGAACAATAGAAGCGAGAAGAGAAGAAAAAGACTAATAATATAAAAACATAAAAAATAATTAATGGGATAATTTTCACATTGTTCGTAGAAAAAAAATCAAGTTTGAAGAAAATGTACAAATACAAAAATGACAATATCTCATAAATAATTACTGAAACTAATATTTTATTGCATTTTGTTATTGAATTTTTCACGACAAATATTATTCAAATTTTTTTAAATATTTTAAAACTTGTATTTAAGTCACATTTTATAATATATAAGATTATAACCAAAATAACTTTAACATCTAATTTAAACTTAAGTTAAATTTAACTTAACTTATTAAATTTACCTTAAAAATTTTAACTCTTTTTGATACCTTTTAATCTTTTTCTATTTTAATAAAATAATTGTATTTAAAAAAATTTTATAATTATTATTATTCTAAAAAATAACAGTCTACACTCTTACCAAATATACTGTATAAAAAGTTACGTATAATTACCATAAATTTTAGCATATTACGTTTCACCTTTATTTAGTTCTCTTATCAATTTATCCTAATTTGGAAAGTTGAAATTTTTGGTTTAAAATTCAATATTAAGATTCGATTCATCTGGATATATTAAATGTTGGCATTTTTTAAATAATCGCATAATTCAATTATGTTATCCAAATATTTATAGTCCTGTTTGATCTTACGTTACAATTCTAAAAATATCTTTTCTATAATTTTCAAGTTTTCAAAATTTTAAATAATGATATCACGGAAATGGTATGAGCCATCTTTAGTTACAGAAGAGTGTAAAAATTAACGAATATACCGTGACTTAATGAACAAAGTTACTGGATCTGCTAAAATTATTCTCTTAATTTGAATTACACAGAGCTAATGTACATATCTTTTTTTTTGTTTAGTTTCAGCGAAGCGATAAGTTTGCATTGTGTTTAACTTAAATCTGAGACAGATATTGGAAAAGATATAAAAATGTATGAATAAAAGGGAAGTGAACAATAAAAGAACGTAAAAAAAACAAAATAGAAGAAAAAACGGCGATCACGCACAACGGTTTAGGATGCTTAAAAAAATAATACAAATATTATATAAATTATGCGTTCTTATATTAAACTCACTTCCAAGTCACTCCTGCCGTAGCTATTAAACGAATCCATTTTCACGCGACAACAGCACTGACACTATCACTTTAATTTTGTCATACAATATCAGCGAGAACTATCAGGCGCTATTATACTTGCGTAGCTACAATAATTACACGTACGAGAATTAAGCGCGCGGTAATTTACAAAGTACGTGTCGATATTACATGAGTAAACTCATCGTTTTGAGATGTTCGATTAAAAATACGGAATAGGACACAGTTATTTCAAGTCAGATAAGCAACGGCAACTGCGACGGCGATAATGATCCACTACGCATCTCTCATGAACGACTGAACTGGACTGAGCACAGTGAGCACGAGGTCTCCAAAACTCTACTCGACAGAGAATGACGAAGAAAACAAATATGAAACTGCAGTGGGACAGTCGCGGTTGAACAGGTTTCAACGGGGATTTCCCGCATCACAACCGCGGCCAATCACCATCGCTGTACGTCGTACCGCGATAGCTGACGCAATAATTACTTATGCTTCATTGGCGTCGATATTTTCAAAACGGATTTTATTTTTTTCTGGTTATTAATTCTACAATAGAATTTTGATTTTATTAATTCTACTAGATTTTATTAATTCTAATAGAATTGAATTTTGATTCAACTTTTTGATTTTTTTGCAAGTAAATATTGTAGAACATTTTACATTGAAAAAAAAGAACATACTTTTCAAAAAATCCCATTCAGAAAATGTTAACGCGACAGTCGAACTTTGATGTCAATAATGTAAATTTTTCAATTCCAAATTATAAAAAAGTCGATATATAATAAAATGATATCATCTTTAATCATTTTTTACAATATCGTTCTGTCTCAATTAAACACATATATTTTTATCTAATACATTGCAGCGCCACTCTTACAAGATCGAGCACCTACTGATCTGTTTATCATTCTAAATCTTCGCTAAGCATACGTATACACGTGAATCAAGCTATATATTTTTTCTAGGCTTACAATTTTAGTTTGACAACTTAATATTATTCGTTCAAGTAATCCGAGATCCGCTGGATATCATTACTGTTATATGCTACTCATATGTAAATCTTTCATATCAAGCAAATTCTAATCTCACCCCCTATTAAGTTATTAATTAAGTTATTAAGCAATGAATTATTTAAATTATTTTTGTTCAAGTTTCTTGTGAAATCGACTCATTCGGACTTTCTGTTCGTGCATATTTTAATTCTGTAAAAATATAATTTATATAATTTAAATAATAAAATAAAATATATTATAATACACACACACACACACACACACACACACATAAAGCCAATTTTAAAATTTTAGGTATAATTCGTAATAGTTCCCGTCGCTAACATCCCCTTAAAGATCAATAAAAGATTTCATAATTGCCTTTTCTAATTTTCCGTATTTTTATATTTTTTAGAAAAAGAGAATAAATTATTGCAAAGTATGCGATGCTAAATAATATCAAAATTACATTTTTAATTTTTATTTATATCTCCTTGAAAAAGATACTAATTTAATGTTTGTAACTTCTTAAATTTTTTCAGAAATAAATGGATTTAATTAGTCGATTTTTAAAAATTATAAATATAATTCAGTTATAATCTAAAACATGTGTAATAATTAAATAAATATTATGACTTTGTAAATGTACAGCAAATTAAAAAGAAAAAAATTATACAGCAGTAAAGTTATACAACAAAGAAGCCGAAATTGTAGAATCAAAAAATGAAGCAAGCAATTGCTGAAGCATGCTAATTGAGAATCTATTTGATAAATAATTTTAAAAACTCTAATTTAAAAAAATCACGAGCAATTATAAAATTACGAAAAAAAAACCGATTTTTTTCAAGTCATAATTAAAATTCAGAAAGGACTTATTTAAAAAAGTACTAATCAAATTTAGGATACTGTATATAAAAAAAGAAATAGAAAAATAGATAATTTTAATATATTAATTTAGCAATGAAGAAAAATCAAAACTTCGCAACTATTCTTTTCCTTACAGTTTTTTGTCTATCATTTTCAATGTCAATTAATTTTTTAAAATTTGCCGATTAAAATTAATTAATCGGCAAATTATATGTTCAGAAGATTCAAAAAAAATTTTCTAAATAATAAAAATTCTATGATTTATATCAAATCTATCAATTTGTTAGATCAAATTAAAAATAAAATATATAATTTTTACTACTTGTGGGAAATAAAATTTCGACTGCAAAAAATCGAAGAACGCTCCAAGAAAAGCGAATATTCTAGAATCTAGATTGATAACTGATTTAACTCGGAAATAATCACTTCTAATATTTTGTATTATCTAGGATGTTTTTTTACATCCAAATTAAAAGTTATTATCATTACAAAACAAATAGAATATATACTCGATATCATCAAAATTGTTTATATAATAAGAAAAAATGACCAATAAACGAGCAAATACGAGATTCTCAATAAAAACGAATTAGGATGATATATTCACATATTAAATTACAGAATGTATACGAGAATAATGATCGCAAGATGTTTTATACTCACAGTTTTCATCAGTTGCATAAAAATCAGAAAATATTCTTCATATAGGTATGTCAAAATGCTTTTCTATGTATTTTCTCATAATAATGAGCTGTTGAGACGCAGCGTATTTCCATAGGTCTTTTACACATATGCATCCTCATAATAAGAGAAAATAATTCATCGTTATTAAGTGAAAATATGTTTTTGTCAAACTAAGTAACGAAATTGAAATAAAATATCTTAAATCAATATCAAGTCAATACTATACAAATTAATAAAAAAATATTTAAAGAAATAATGATCTATAATAATAATGATTTATAATCAAATTAGTAAAAATTATTAATATAATAATTTTTACTGTCATTAATTACATATTATATACTATTGATTGTTTTATAATTTATTAATATTTAAAATTGTATACAGATTTACTTATTATCTTCTTAAAATATAAGACGAAAAAAAATAGATATGAATTCTCAGTCAGTAAAGAAATCTAACTATAAACTTTCTCTTTTTCGCTACTTGAACGTAAAAATTATCTTGTGTAATTATTCCTAAGTACTTAAACAGAGTACAAATAATTGAGATAACTTTTAAATTTTAAAATAATATGCTTTTGAATATTTTGTGGTGGGCGCCTATGTTCGACTTTATTTATAGTATGTACGTAGTGATGCACAGAGTAGATACATATACACGTCGATATAGTCGCGATCTTCCTTACGAAATTCTA